CATATCTGCATTATCTGATTTTGCATATATTATACACGGATCAAACATATTCCCTGAATCTGTATCCGTAACAGATACAGTGCTACAGACACTTAGTAATGTGATGCACAGCTGGTTGTTTTTAACAAAGCATATGAATATTGTGTTTTTGTAAATATACTTTAGTTTTGTGAAGTTTGCTGCAAATGTTCTCAGGCTTTTACTAAGTATGTCTATTACTGCATGAGGTTTACTATTTCCAATCTCCTATGTCTGCATATTTCGAAGAACAAGCAGGATTTCCTGTTAAGGCAGCCCTTTGATAGCTGTACTGAAGGAAGTGGTATGTGTGAAATCCTGTCTTTCCGGAGATTATATCAGCGATAAGTGTGGAATGCAAATGTTCTTTAAGCGGAAGTGTGTGAGCTGGATGTGGCTGTGTGCATTGACAGCTTATTGTAATCCATAGTTCATTAAGGCAAACAATTCCATAGTGCTCAATTAAAGTATAGGAGACAGAGCAATGGCAAAAAAGAGAAAAGTTTTACTCAGGAAGGATCTGTAATGGGGGGAAATGCTTTTGGTTTCATTATAATAGTCTGTGGCTGCAAAGCTACATGCATTGCGATCACCATATATACATTTGGAGGAGTGACTGAAGTTTTTACATTTCCATTTAAAATCAGCAATGTGTACAACTGCAGTAAAACATTCTGCTCTTTCCCTCCTCTGTCACACAAGGAAGACCCTGAATTGGACCAGATGATGCTCCTCATGTCCAAACAATGTCAAGGGACTTCCAATTCATAATGCAGGGAAAATTAGTTAACCTGTTTTGTAAAGTTGGGGAGGACTCCCGGGTTTTGGTGGACCTTGAGATAAGTTTCGACAGACAGACCACACCACCCAGTGCCATCTATCATCAAGCCCATAGACAAGGGAGCGGTTTAGGGATTCAACCCCTCAAAATTTCAGGTTAAAAAAACCTGGTTTACTCGTGAATGTTAACTGGTTAACCAAATCCTCATGTGAAAAATATGAGAAACAAAATTTAGAATCTCCCCAGAACTACAAGCACTATCTCAACCAAATGTTGATTATTCACACTGTCATTACCTACCTTTCTACCAATCTACATTGCAATAGAAGCAATAGCTGACATAGTGGAAGCGACCAAGTTGGCTTTTCCACAGCTGACAGGCAAAGCCTAAGGTGCAGGGTGGTGGCAAGGGAGAGGGGATTTGACCTGGATTGCAGGTGAAAACTGAGGAAACTGTGGAAACTGAGGTGTCTACCGCTGGTTTATCTAATCCAGTGGTTCTCAGTCTGTGGGTCCCCAGGTGTTTTGGCCTACAACTCCCAGAAATCCATTACCAGCTGTTAGGATTTCTGGGAGTTGAAGGCCAAAACATCTGGGGATTCACAGGTGGAGAACCACTGATCTAATCCAAGCCCTGCCAAGGAAGCAATGGAACAGAAGCAAAGAGAAGAAGCTGTGTCATTGGACTTTATATGAACAAGACTGTTTCTGATGACAAGTGAAAGCTGAAATAGTACAAAATCCATAGATTCCATTGGCAGGATATATATTTCCTGTGGATAAGAAGAGGCATCTAAGATTTCAACCCAAATGGTTCAGCAGATTTCCCTGGTCAGCCTACTCATTTCATGTAAAAGGTGTGCTCTGGAAGTATGCTGTGGTGTTTGGAGGAGACATTGGGGGTAAATGTGGTCATCAGAAGCTTGGTGCATTGGTGGCTAAACCATTTGTGCAATGGAAAAATGAAATAGAAGTCTTTAATTGACACCAAAAAAAGAGCACCACCAGAACAATTTGTGCTTGGGTGAAAACATCTTCCTAATTTACAGTGGAAAATGCCTTGATGTAACCTGTCATCATGATAAAGGAAATAAGAAGATGAAGAAAACATTTTTAAAAACTTATGCCAATTGTGTAAACTATTGTCCTTTGTGGCTGACAAGAGGGAGCAAAGATTAAGGACCTATTATCTGTGAAGAACCTTTGCATAATGATGGTAATTTCAGGGCCTTGTTGAGATCTAGTGCCAGAACAAGAGACATGGACCTGACAAGTCATCTCGGGGGAGGGGGAGTTTCAACCCCTCCAGAATTTTTTTTCTGGCTACGGACCTGTTGATTATCTTTCCCCTGCACTTGGCAGAGCAGGAAAAAGGGACTAGATTGAGCCTGTATCACCTTCCATTCACTATGGCGATGGCTATGGAGCTTCTGCCTGTCGCTGGGCACCTTTGCTAAAATCCTTCTCTAGAGAGACCAAGATGGCCCCGTCCCTACTTGCCGTTTGCAGGGAGATGAAAGCATACATGTACCATCAGACATATGGTATATGAAATGATGAGGGGCAAGCTGCTGGAATGGTGTGATTAGGATTTTGTGGTGGCCGTGTGGTTTTTAATGTATTTTAATACTTTTACGTTTAATTTTGTAATAACATAAAGGGTTTAATTGCATTTTAAATGTTTATACTGATATTTTAATACATGTGTGTTGTTTTATTTGCATAATGCCATATTTATTGATAGCTGCCTTGAGTTCCTATGTCCAGAGAAAGGTGGAATTAAAACAAATAATATAAATAAAAACAAATAACTAAATAAAATACACAAAAACAGGCATTCCAAACTCCAAAATACTTCTGGTCCCAAGCATTTTTCATAAGTGATACCCAGCCTGTTTTGAGAAGCTCCAGTTTTGGTTATTATGGTACTTTATAGCCTGCTACATCATGGAGACAGTTCATGAAACAGAGCATTGACAAGATGGCTATCCACAATCCACAGTTGGTTCTGAACTGTGATAAGACATTTGGTATGGTATTGTAATAGAACTTTAGGTAGCAGTACTGAATTTAATGAATTATAAAAACAAATTGTAGTAATTTATTCACTATATACAGTTTTAACAGTAATTAGTAGAATATTTTAGGTTGTTGTGTTACAGATTTCAATCAATTTCTCTATTAAGACAAATTCTTTGACACAATTACGTGGCACTTTGGCTGTAAGCCTGATATGCTGAAGTGTATTTTGGTGTTCTCAGGAAGCACAGTCCTTGGAATAGATGACCAAAAAGCAGCACTGATTTGGCACTTGGCATCGCACACTCTGGCACGTCTGCCAGTATTGGGAAAGATGTCTGTAATTCAGTGGCTTCACTTTGAACTAAATTGTTAGCTCATGGACAGTACAAAAATTTCCTGCAGCTGGGTGCAGCCGCAAAAACCTTAATGTCAGAATTACTTGGGGTTCTAATGTCTCAAAGATTGTGCTACATGAACAGGAACTCTTAAAATTGTATCAAGACCAACCCAACTTTGTCCATGAAGTCCATTGTTATGTCCTGCAATGGAATCAGTGTCAAAACATATCTGTTTTCCTCTCTCTGTTTCTCTGTATATTTATATATATATGTGTGATATAATTTGTTTCATAATAGATGTCATAGGTAATCCAAATTTGGCACACGCACAATACCATAACTGTCCTAATTAATCATCTACTGTCCTAGTTTTATAACTGTTTTAGAAATGTCCCAGTTTTTGTTTCCACCTTCTATATTTACACTTTATCCTCAGTTAACCTCAGCTGCTGCAGATTGCATTCAGACTACAGGAGGGAATGGAAAGAAACAAGGGCAGTCTGCTTCTGCTACTTTGAATTATACTATAGGCTGCACAGGAAGCTTCGATGGGATTATCTGGAACATTTTTTTCTCTTTAAACTATGAATTAATTTGAGCCCTTTGGATAGTCACAAAATAGTTTAGATAGAAATTGATACATCTCTCAGACCCATGCTAATTCATATTTAGACTTGGACCCCTGGTTGTCTTCATAATTTCTTAAGATAAAATGAGATTGGGGAGGACCACAGTTCACTACCCCTAAACAAGATTTTGTATAGACTGATATTTCTTTGGGAGTGGAATCCTCTTTGTCTCTTTATCCTCAATAATTGCTTGCATGGTGTCAGTGCATGAAGGGTCCTTCTGTTCTATGTGTATTTCATGAGACTTGGAGACCATGAGTCATAGTTTGGCATATATAGAAGTCTAACTGGTATTATATTGGTTGGTTTGAAGTGGTAAGAGGTCTACTAGAATTTAGGCTATTGTATGTCCACATCAAAGTATGTAGATTCTACAGATACTGTCTGGCCTGCTATCCAACTCTTCCGTTTCCCTTTGTAGGATTATTTTGCACCTGAATCAATGAAGAAATAGCACTACATTCATATATAGTTATAATTGGGGTGATTAAAACAACTAAAATGTGGTTGACTTAAGTCAAGTTCAGATTGTGCCTAGGCAAAATAGTCATAAACTGTCATTAAATATTATTCAGTGTGTGTATAGAAGATGCACAGATCTTCTCTGTCTCTCTCTCTTGTGTACTGTCCCCCCCCCCCCAGGTATCTGTATGTACTGTATATTCCTATATCACAATTGTCTATGAATACAGAAAATGATCATGCAATTTCTTTAAAATCATATCTTTTCAGATTTCTTTCTGTCTATATAAATTTCAAAAGGAATTTCCTAGTCCCCACATGTTAGGTAGTAGTAGTAGTCGTCGTCGTAGAAAACATATGCTATGCTTTCAGAATACTTTGTTCTCTGATTGTGCTTTCCTCCAAGCCTAACACAAATCTCATTGATTGTATGTGAGGGTTCTTTTCTTTGTCCCAGCCACATGAGTAGCAAAACCAGAATAAATCATGCAAACTAGAAACTGTGGAATAAATTTTGTAAAATATACGAAATCATGGATAATACATTTTTGGAGATAAAATGAATAATATTTCTTTAGTGCTGAACATGAGTTACCTAGGTGCAATTTACACATTGTCCTTGAGACATCCAGAAGCACGTGGAATGAATTGCCCAAACTTTAAAGTTGGCATCTTAAAAAAATGTTTAGACTAGGTTGCATATTTATGTTGTCACCAGAACATGTCTGTAACTGCCTCATTTTCTTTTAGGGGGGCAGGACACAGTGCATACAAGAAGCATGTCCCGTTCTTTCATGTCCTCAGCATCTTAGTCACACTCCTACTGGACAGTGTTGTCCAAAATGTTTGGGTGAGTGATTGTCTTCACCAATGTATTGCATGTTCCATGTGAATTGTACTATATTTTGTGGAAGTCTGAGTGTTATGTTGTTAAACAGAAGCTATAGACAGAAATATGAAAACACAAATCTTTTTTATGATACAGAGTATAGTTATATGAAACTTCTTGCATCTTCATATTTATTCTTGTCACTGCTATTGTTATTATTCTAATAATTTATTCCATTTTTATAAATAAGTCATGTATGCTTGTTTTGTTCAGCTGTGATTTTGGAGAGTCAACATCAAGCGGGTTCCAAAGATCACTACTGTATATGTGATTCTCCTCCCTCTGAAGTGAGCAGTGTTTTTGACATTGAAGTATTTGTGATGAGTTTTTTTAAAATATAATTAAATATTTTCATTGTGGAGGGGGACATTAAGAAAGCTGTAGGTCTGAGCTAGGAGAAATTTGAGTGCACTTTCTGCTTCTAAGCAGGATAGACAATTAGGAATTTATTTTTGTCAGGATTCAAGGATCCATTCCTACTTAATGAATAAGCTACTTGAATTTCTTTGCCAGGCCTAACTTGCAAACATCCTACTTTGTGTTATGAATCCAAGTTGCACCATCAAAGAGCAGGCATGGTGTAGTGGTTTGAGTGTTGAATTACAAGTGGAGACTAGGATTCGAATCCCTGTTTGGCCACATATATTAATTGGACAAAACACATTATCTCAGCCTCAGAGGGGGCAATGGCGAATCCCTCAAATCAGAGCAAATGTCATGGTAGGTTACTTGAAGGCATACAATAATGGGTAAAGAAGTGCAGCCAGTTTAATTCTAAACATAGTCAAAGCTTTAAATCAATGGTTCTCAAACTATGGTCCATGGAGCCCTTAGGGCTCTACAAAGTATAGCCAGGGTTCTGTGCTTCCCTTCCCCTCCAAGTACATGGCAGCAGGGAAGGATGCCCAGTTAGGTGGTTGCTCCTCCACTTCTGAAACACCAGAAGCACCAGTGCCAGAAATGCCACCACTGCAAGTGGGGCAGTGCAGGAGGGCAGGGGCTCTGTTGGCAATAGTGGCAGAAGAGGTATGTGGGGCGGACACAGGATGGCAGGGGCAGCGGCAACAGCAAGGCTCTCCTCAAAGAGCAGCTTAATGGTGATGGCAGTGGGGATCCCATAGAGGCGCACTGCCAGCAGGCAATATGGCCCCCAGGCCCTAAAGGAAGTAGCCCAGAGTCGGCTGCAGGGCCCTTTCTGAAGGGAGTGGGTCCTTGTACACCAATGACTCAGAAAATCATGACTTGGACCCTGCCACCACCAATGCCATCAGGGGCTGGAAAATGCTGAGGCTGGCCACCCTATCCATTAAGGACTTCCTTCCATTTCCATGTCCTTCCTCTTTCTTCTTTCTTTCTTCCTTTCTTTCTTTCTTTCTTTCTTTCTTTCTTTCTTTCTTTCTTTCTTTCTTTCCTCCCTTCCCTTCCTTCCCTTCCCCCTTCCCCTTCCCCTTCCCCCTTCCCTTCCCTTCCCCTTCCCTTCCACTTCCCCTTCCCCTTCCCTTCCCCTTCCCTTCCCCTTCCCCTTCCCTTTTTCCCTTCCTCCTTCCTTCCTTCCTTCCTTCCTTCCTTCCTTCTTCCTTCCTTCCTTCTCCCTTCCTTTCCTTCCTTCCTTCCTTCCTTCTTCCTTCCTTCCTTCCTTCCTTCCCTCCCTCCCCCCTCCCTCCCTCCTCTCCCTTCCCTCCTTCCTTCCCTCTTTTCCTTTCCCTTCCTTCCTTCCTTCTTTCTTCTTTTCTTCTTCTTTCTTTCCTTTCCTTTCCTTTCCCTTTCCCTTCCCTTTCCTTTCCCTTCCCTTTCCCTTCCCTTTCCTCCCTTCCCTTCCCTCCCTTCCCTTCCCTTCCCTTCCTTTCCTTTCCCTTCCTTTCTCCTTTCCCTTCCTTTCCCTTCCCTTCTTTTCCCCTCCCCTCCTTCCCCTTCCTCCTTCCCCTCCCTCCTCCTCCCCTTCCCCTTCCCTCCCCCCTTCCCCTCCCTCCCCCTCCCCTCCCCCTCCCTCCCCTCCCCCCCCCCTCCCCCTCCCCCTCCCCCCCCCCTCCCCCTCCCTCCCCCTCCCCTCCCCTCCCCCTCCCCTCCCCTCCTCCCTCCTCCCCCTCCCCCCTCCCCTTCCCTCCCCTTCCCCTTCCCTTCCCTTCCCCTCCCTTCCCTCCCTTCCCTCCCTCCCCTTCCCCTTCCCCTTCCTTCCCCTTCCCTTCTTCCCTTCATCTAGAACTAAGATAAGGAGATGTAAGGAGAGGCATACATTTTCAAACTTTTTTCAAACAGACTAACAAAGCCTGCATGAATAACCTAAATTCTGTCTAAGGGCCCTTCCAGACAGGCCCAAAACATGGGATCTGTCTCGCTTTTACCTGAGGTGTCCAAATGATGCCTCAAGTAAAAGCGAATTAATGTAGAGAAAACTCAATTTTTCCAGTTTACTCTGCATTAATTAAATTCCTGGAAAGATCTGGACCTTAAGCTAATATCTTTCCAGGTGTGGGCCCTGTAGAGATTCCCTCCTCCCCCTCCCATCTCCTGATCCATCGTTTTAAAGAAATTTTAACTAGATTTGTTTATATTTAGCAGAAGTTAAAGCAATTAGAATTGAAGTACATTATATCATCTTGATACATGCCGTGGCATGAAAGGGGAGAGGTCAACTATGTCTTTTATATAATTTTTATTTTTATTCGAATTCTTAAAGGGGAGGGAAGGTTGTGTGGAAGGGATCCTAAATGTTATATCTTTTTTGAAACCTCAAAAAAAGAAGAAGAAGAAGAAGAAGAAGAGTGAGTCCAACTTTTGGGGCTTGTGTAGATAATCCTTAAATTATATCTTTATATAGGTTGGATCCAGTAGTACATCGGTTTGGGGTGGCAGAATGCTTTTCTTCTTTGTGTACCTGCAATCTAGATGGGAGATTGTGGAATATAACTGCCTTTAAGGAGGTTGTGGTTGAGAAGGAAGCTTTGTTAGTGAACATACTAGATAACTCTAGTGGCTTTGCAGCACTGCCAGACCAATATAATGTGTTCTTTTATGCAATATACAGCAGTGCAAAGGATGTGTTGTCCCATATGGGAATTCTCAACATCTTGAACTGATTTACATAGGACTGTCTTGGCGTTGACTGGGATTTTTCATATCCTGCAAGATTTGGCTGGCATGCCATAAAAGTTGTACTGAATTATCTTCTGGGCTGGTGCACATCATCACTTAGTGATTACTGCTTTCTAACTCAAAACATTACATCAAGGATATTGTTTTGAATGATATAATGTGCCATTTAAAAGTCATGCGCCTATTTAAAAACTAGGTGTATCAGTGGAGCTGGGGATCATTTGACTGTCTGTTCAAAGCTGATAAAATGAGTTAAAGGCACACAATGTCTGAACATAATGATTCAATACATTATAACTAAATAGTGATAGGGTATTATTATTATTATTATTATTATTACTATTTTCATCAGATGAACTAACACTTATTTGCTGCCCTAGACTAGCATATGCATTGTTCAAATTGACGTAAATGAATGGCTGTGGCCTGTAGGTGCATATTTGCACATACAAAATAGCAGTACCTTATGTGTAATTGCTGTGGTGGACAAAAAGAACACCAGACAGGCAAAGTGTTCCCCTGTTCTTGTCATTGCTGTGGAATATCCCGAATGAACAAAGAGTTCCATTGCACTGAAGAGTATGAGAAACCCTCAGTGGTCAGTCAGAGCTTTGTAGAGCTTCTTCACTTTAAAAGATGTAGACTAAAATAATGGATTCCCTAACTTTCAAAAACGTATGCATTTCCTCACATCTGATCTGAGCTTCTTGAGCCTTTTTACATGCTTACTAACTGCACAAAAAACCTCTAGCATCACCTTTTTTCTAGTACTGCTACTTCTCCCCCTGCTCTCCACACCTGCCTTTCTTCCCTTCTTTAACTTGTGTAGCTAAGCAAAGACAAGTGTTAAAATGACTGTCTGAGTGTGATTTTACACAGACACTATAATGCAGTTCAAAACTGGCTCAGGAACAGGATGGTTCCCCCAATCACCCCCACCCCCAATGCATATCAAGCACATCAAGCTTTAAAAATTCACTAGAAAGTCCTGAACAAGCCAGATAATGAGCTGCAGCCAAACAGAATATTTACTTACTTACTTAGGTGATCCCTCATAGTCCGAGGTTGATGATCCTACAAGTGGTAGTGTCCTGGCGGTGGGTCTGTAGATGACTGTGGAGCTCTATTCTTGATCTGCATCTTCTCCCATAGTGAGGGCATCGGTTTCCAGGTGGAAGGCGGTCCCGGTCGGGGTTGGCTTGACGCGCCTTCCTCTTGGCACATTTCTCTCTTTCGCCCTGCATTCGTGCCTCTTCAAATTCTACAGCACTGCTGGTCAAAGCTGACCTCCAACTGGAGCACTCAAGGGCCAGGGCTTCCCACTTCTCAGTGTTTATGCCAGAGTTTGTAAGGCTGGCTTTGAGCCCATCTTTAAATCTCTTTTCCTGTCCACCAACATTCCGTTTTCCGTTCTTGAGTTCGGAGTAGAGCAACTGCTTTGGGAGATGGTGGTCGGGCATCTGGACAACATGGACAGTCCAGCGGAGTTGATGGCGGAGAACCATTGCTTCAATCCTGGTGGTCTTTGCTTCTTCCAGCACGCTGACATTTGTCCGCTTGTCTTCCCAAGAGATTTGCAGGATTTTTCAGAGGCAGTGCTGATGGAATCGTTCCAGGAGTGGCATGTGACGTCTGTAGACTGTCCACCTCTCGCAGGTATATAGCAGGGTTGAGAGGACAATAGCTTTATAAACAAGCACCTTGGTATCTCTATGGATATCCCGGTCCTCAAACACTCTCTGCTTCATTTGGAAAAAAGCTGCACTCGCAGAGCTCAGGCGGTGTTGTATTTCAGTGTCAATTTTGACTTTTGTGGAGAGGTGGCTGCCAAGGTAGCGGAAATGGTCAACATTTTCTAAAGTTACACCATTAAGTTGTATTTCTGGCATTGGAGAGGGATTGGCTGGTGACTACAATTGGTGGCAGATGAGCCCTTTATGACAGTAATCGCAATGATCTTTTTAGCAATGTCACTCCCCTTCAACCACATTCTGTTTCTTTTCCTGTTATTTATATCCAGGACAGAGGAAAGTGTTTGATCTCCCATTTGGAAGCTGTCTCTTTCACAGTGATGTTTATGACAACGGAGCCTCCTTTGCATATGACAATTGTACAAAATGTACATGCAGGGTGAGTCAGTAATAACCCATCTCTTAATTAAGTTATTTTTAGAGTGCAGCACTGACATTTTTATAGTTCAGAGGATAAGATGCTTTCTTCCACTGATTTGCAGTTACACATCTAAAAGTAAGAAACAGGGCTTTATAGAAATGGGAAGATCATGGGCTTTCTTTCTGGACCCCATGGATACAAATTTTTTTTTTTGGATCTCTTGATTTATTTCCTGTTTTGCTACTGTTTCAATACCATCCCCACTAAAGTGAATATGCTGTCATAACTCCACCATTATTAAACATACTGAAAATAGAGAAGTATTTTCATAAGAGTATGTATGTCTGTATGTCTCCATGGGCAACAGGTTAGAGACAGAGGTAGAGTTCCTTATTGGTAAAATTGACACCTTCAGGTTTGGCTTTACTTTTTCTACTTCTTTATCTTAGTTATGTATCCAATGGAAGCAGACTTATTTACGTATACTTTGCTTTTTTACCCTGTGTCTTCACAGGCCAAATAAAATACTCTCACTTTGAAACCTCTTCAAATAATCCAGATGATGTACAGTCAGTTCTGCAGCAGAAATGTTTCTTCCATTCTTTAATCCAGAGTTTCTAAAACATCAGCTCCCCCAGATGTTTTGGACTTCAGCTCCCACAGTTCCTAACAGCTAGTAAACTGGCTGGGATTTCTGGGAGCTGAAGTCCAAAACACCTGGGGGAGCACAGTTTGGGAAACACTGCTTTAATCCATCACAAGAAGAATTGCAAGTTACTCTGGAGCTTCCCAGAAAGTGATGTACGATGTTTTTGATGGGTGGACAGCCGAATAGGACTATCCACTTGTCAAAAAGATCCACTGTTGTTTCACCATCCAGAAGCAACTCCCTGTCAGAGTCTTGTTAATGATGTTGCTTCTGATTATCACAAGGCGTTGCCAGCAAGATTCTGATGGGGATTTTTTTTCTGGCTGGCAAAACAGCTGTGTGGTGGTGGCCCTCAGGAGGACAGGATACCTGTGTCAGTGTGGTGTTAGCCTAGCCAGCCATGTGGATTGCAAAACAGTTGTTTAGGTGCTTCCATGCTGGTACATGTGGACTCTCTGTGATGTACGCACTGCAGTTTTGGAGCAGACTAGGTGTAAACGCAACTCTAGCATACTGCCCCCCCCCCCCAAAATCAGTCTTTGGTTGATTATTCCAAATAGCACCTTCCTTATTGACTAAAAAGTACTGTAAGAGAAACCGAGAAAGGCTGTTGGTGTGAATGAAAAAGTTTGCTCTTCTTCCAAGGAAAGATATAGAGTAGACAGTGCAACTCACCATGAATGTATGTCTACCTGAATCTGGTTGCACTCATTTGTACTTCCAAAAGAAGCAAGTTGACTCTGTCAAAAATCTCTTTCAGACACTGTGGCCCCCCAATCTTAAAACAGCAGCTCCCTTATTTCTGTGCCAGGCCCAGAGGAGAAAACAGCAATCATAGAAATAAACTACAGTAGTAGGGGAGGACAGAGTGTCACATTCCCATTCTCCCCTGCATCTTAGTTCAGTCACCTCCTCCATTATGTACAACATGAACTCCTGACATTGGAGGTCTTAAAACCACCAAGGCAGAATCAATCACCCAAACATTTGCTTGCCAGATTATTGAAGGCAAACTTGTCCTTTTACTTCAATGGGTCGTCACCCATATTAAGAATGTTATCAAGTCCCTAGTGGCCAACAATATGATTTCATCTTGGTTTGATACAGACTGTGCATGCTAAGTTATGGGTACAGTGCACTAAAACTTGTAGGACATATTTTCTACTTCTTTAAGGTTATATAGAAAGCTGTTGAAAGGAGAAACCTTTTAAAATATAATTGAGCAATATTTTTTGTACTTATGCTATCTTGGAACCGTGATGTCGAAGTTGCTAATATTTGCAACTAGGCCTGAGGTTTACCTGGAGAATTCACATATGTTTATGGGGTAACATGCTATGGATATGGTTAAGAGTCAAATTACACCAGTTAGTTTTCATAAGAATCCTTCTACACCTTTCAGATGCATTACAAGAAGCATGATATGATTACCTGAACATTTGCATCACATTCAAAACAAGACATGTGTGTATTTTCTATTTCAAAGGGAAACACCAGAATCAGTTCCAAAAGGTGTCAGACAGGTGGTTACTGGGCTCCACAAGAGGTAAATTACCTACTACCCAGTAGTGCTGCTTTACTCATTTTGTAAGAAGCACTCGCCGAGATCAGAAGCATTATCTTGTGTGCTTCACCAGCTTACAATGTCTCACCTCAAAACCCCAATAATCCTTCAGCCAGTGTGAAAAAGCATTGAAACAGTTGAAGAGGCCCAAGCAACCCCAAAGATGAGAATAAAGGACGTGACTTCGTTTCTTTGGTCATCAAAATGTCACTTCAGCAACAGCAGTTCCATATTTTAAAATGTTAAAGGTAATATACTATGTGGAACATAAGGGGAAAATACTCTCCATGCTAACATGTATCTTTAGTCTCTAAATACCCAATATATACTGACTAAAGTAGTTGTGACATGAATTGGCTACCACTGGGTGTATCTGATAGTCATGAATTGAGGAGGGAATATCATTCATCTGCAGTCTCTTTTTTCTTCCCTTCCTTGTAGGATTCTACTGTTGTGTGTAAGAAGAAATGCTTACCACCTGGAGATTGCATCAGAACCAATGAACAATGCTGCAAGGAATGCGTCTCTTACATGTCTCCTGAAGAAACAAAAGTGTGCAAATTTGGCAACAAGATCTTCCGGGTAAATAGGCGTGCAGAGTTCCATTGAGACTAGAATGACTGGGATGTGACACGTTCTAAACTGTGTTTGTAATTTTAGAGTAATCGATGTCATACAAAGTGGCCCTTACAATAAGGCAGAGGCATTCAATGTGGTTTATTTTAGTCAGTCCTACAGCACAGTACACTGGCTCCCTTTTCCCTAGGCAGAGAACGAAGCTGCTGCCTCTTGCCATAAAATGTACAGGATGATATGATTCATTTTCTCCAGCAGATTCCTGATAGACATCAGAAAGGTATTTCTCTGTGGGCTGCAAGACAACAGCCCAACCAAAAGGGAACCCTCCTCCCACTCCCACCCCTAAGTGAACCAATCAGAGCGTAATTTGCTTCTCTGGATTCAATTCAGTACACTGCTATAAGTACAGACAGTGCTTCATGAATTGGGAAGTTGTGCTGTCATAATCCCCTCCTGCCCTCCTCCCACACAAGGTCATTGGGGATTCCCTCAAAACACTTCCCATATTACTGTGTGCCTGTTTGTTTTTTCAAGTGGTGCAGGGTTTCTCTCCCTCCTACATCTCTGTTGGAAGTGATTTCTGTCACTGCATGCACCATCTGTGTGTTGAGAGATCCTGGGATTACATGAAAAGTTAAATCCCTTATGTGCACAATATTTATCCAGCCAATGCTGCTTTTCATTAATTTGCATTCTCCCATTTGCACAAAGCTGCAATGTTCTGTAGGTCATGAAAATGCTGTTTACTGTATAGTGAAAGGAGCTACTCTTCATTCACTTAACACTCATATAAAGACCAGTAATTATACGTCCAACCAGTTTCCTCCTCCTTAACTTACATTCTTTTTCCGTGCACACTCATAAAAAGAAAGAAGAGAATTGCCTTATTATCATGAGGACAGGATTCCAAAGGGCTTCTATAGGTGCATCCAAGACCTTGACTATCCCACTTTCATAGACCCATGTAATATATGTGAAACACTCCTCTTTTTCAACACAGGGAACTGGGTTTGGAAGAGTGGAACTCCTGCTAAAGAAAACCTGAAGCTCCCCCATCTAGCTACTGACAGAACAGGTCACACAGACTTTTGGACTCCAGGATATTAATTCACTTAGAACAGTGATTCTCAACCTGGGGTCCCCAGATTTTTTTTGCCTTCAACTCCCAGAAATCCTAGCAGCTGGTCAACTGGCTGGGATTTCTGGGAGTTGTGGGCCAAAAACATCTGGGGACACCAGGTTGAGAACCACTGACTTAGAACAACAAAATGTTTTTTTTTAGTTAGTAGTGTTATATGAGCCTCGATTTTGCCTCATTTATTGCAGTCACTGGTACTGGGAACTGTTATTTGCTGCTTGCGGAGACGATGCCCGTTTGTTGTGTGCCTTCAAGTCATTTCTAAGTTATGGTGACCTTCAGGCAGGCATGGGCAAACTTCGGCCCTCAAGTTGTTTTGAACTTCAACTCCCTCAATTCCTAACTGATCTAAGATGAACTTATTATGGGACTTTATTGGCAAGATTTGTTCAGAGGAGGTTTGACTTTGTCTTTCTCTGAGGCTGGGAAAATGAGAAAACATGACTTGTCCAAAGTGTTGTCAAACACTTTCATGGCCGGAATCACTGGGTTGCTGTGAGTTTTCCGGGCTGTATGGCCATGTTCCAGAAGTTTTCTCTCCTGATGTTTCACCCACATCTATGGCAGGCATCCTCAGAGGTTTAGGGATTTGAAGCTACCCAATTGATTACCATTGGCGAAGAAGTTTACTTCTCAATGCATTGTTAGTTACAGTCCCCACCCTTGATAGATCACTAAACTTTGTATTTTATATAAATATAAATGGGGGAGCGAAGGGGGGGAGGTTGTCAGATTTTTTTAACACTCATTTTTGTCTGTTCAGATCTGCCATTAATACATTTTAGTGGTAGCCGAGTCAGAGCCTGTAGTTCCAAAAGGGCAGATGCACCCTTCATTCACTCACCCAGGCAAATGAACTAAGGGTGCGACTATTATGCGGGGAATGGTAGAAATCCAATTTTCCCACTCCAGAAATGGGGGTGCGACTATTATGCGATGAAATATGGTATAATGCTTTGCTGTGTTTCTTTTTTGAAAATGTATCTTCCTTTTGTACTTTGGAACATCAAGATCTATAAATACTCCCTTTTAAATCACTGTTTTGATACTATTTGCCTCATCTTTATTTCATTCCAATACATCAAGAGTTTCCATATGCTGTCTATGAAAGGACTTGCATAAGGGCATTGGTCAATAGCTTGGGAATGCTGGTTATAACATGTGGTCTCCAAAGATGTTTGCCATGGTATTATTGGAGCAACATTTGGGGTCAGAGAGTCTTGCGAGGGAAAAGAATACATGGATTTAGTCCCATATAACTGTACCTACAAGAATTTAGGATTCATGTGTGCGTGTGCTCTCTGTCTGTTCTAAACATTTTCAGATGTTTAGTAGATCAGATGTCTGCCTTAGCATTGTAAGTAATCCAAATTTGAATTCAGCATTAAGTATATTTCTGGATTAAACCAAAGTAATGCCACATCTGGGAATATATTTTCTGTGTCCTGACATTTTAATCAAACATTTTCATGTGCAGTAACTTAAACATGCCAATCACAGTGGCCATATTGAGTCAGATTTTTCTAATTATGTCATTCCAAATGAAAAAATCATGATGTTGGACCACTGCAGAAGGAATGTTTTTCAGGACAAAATACAACTAATTAGACTGTCATTAAAAAAAGCTTTAATATGTCTTCATTATGTGTGGAACAGTACTTTCCCCATCTTGAAGGACCAGAGGGGAAAACTATCCCAGATGAGTTTCCATTCTTAATCTATCTGGGTGGAGATGGACATTTCATAATTAATCTAGACTAAACAATGACATAACTCCAGTAGGGACAGTGTTTCTTTTTCCTTGTATAAGAAGATGATGCATTACTGGAATAGCTTCCCTCTGCTTCTCCAGCTGATGGCTGTATCATGTTCTCTCTTCTGCAGGATGGAGAGATGTGGTCCTCGGTTAACTGCACCATCTGTGCTTGTGTGAAAGGCAAGACTGAATGTCGCAAGAAGCACTGCATTCCAGTCAGCAGCTGCCCTCATGTGAGTGTAACAATGACTATGTTTTCCCCCACCCCTCCATTTTTTTCAGAAGCCCTAGCAGGTTTGATGCATGGAGATTTTGGGAAAAGAAGAACAATAAGGAGATTTCATGTTTTTCAGCTGACTAGAATAAACAAAGCAATTTAACCTATCTCTATTTCTTCTTGTTTCACTTTCCTCTAACCATTTATCTTCAGTCTATAATCTTTTTCCTTCCTATTTTGGTACCAGTCATTCTTTCTACTATGGCTCATTCCTTCTGTGTTTGATCTCTCTCTTGCCAATATTAAAGGGCCTTAGGCAAAAGATTTTGAGTATCCTTAAAGAGCAGGAAATGTTGGTTATTCCATTTGATATTATTTGTATTTTAAAGTCAGTGATGGGAGATACGTACTTGTGAGATCCTCTGTTTCATGTGCCAAAATATCTTGGCTGTATCTAGCGACTATAGATACCTTAGTTTTTTGGCCTTAGACCTGACCAAATACAGGTCTAATTAGGCCTTGTTTCATTCATGAAATGTTATTGTGGTAGTTTTCACATGCTATCTTCCATTTTGAAAACATCTACCCACTGCGTTTTCTGCCTTTTTAATAATTAAAAGTGCTAAGTGGAGAGAGATGGAATATGTGTAATTTTTTTGTTTTGTTAATTTTTTCTTTTATTAATTATTTCAAAATTTTAAAATTCTAAAACATTTTATACATAATACAAATGTCTTATCACCTCATCTGTTTCCAGATCTATATATCCCAACCCTCCCATCACGCACATAACATTATAAAAATACAGCACTGTCAATTCTATCACTTCTGCTTATTCTAATTTTATCCATTACATAATTATTACTATTTACTCACATTTTTAGTAGTTACATCAAGGACTCAAAATTTAATTGCATACAGTATTGATTCCTCCAAAAATGTTTGAAAAATAGGGTGAAGGGGAAAAAAGAGATGGGAAATACAGAATGTAGTTTAGTTTTGTCGAAGGCTTTCATGGCTGAATCACTAGGTTCTTGTAGGTTTTTTCGGGCTATAGGGCCATGTTCTAGAGGCATTTCCTGACGTTTCGCCTGCATCTATGGCAAGCATCCTCAGAGGTAGTGAGGTCTGTCGGAATAATGGGTTTATATATCTCCTTTATATATCGCCCCTGGGCTGAAAACAGCGGTATATAAGCAAAGCAAAATAAATAAATAAGTGCATTTGGCACTATTCATGACACATTCCACAACAAGTTTACTATTCTCTATCTTTCTTGTTATTGCCATCCCACTGCTGCTTCTGGGTCAATACATTGTTATCATCTAATGTGACGAGGGTCTAAGTTTTCCAGCCATCTATCAGTCCTCGTCAAACTTCTCCCCCAGTTTGAAGCTGAATTCTGATGTCTTGAAAGTGTTTTCTGCTTTCACTATGAAAGTATCGTCATCCTTGCTGATGATAACGTCTGGCTTATTACTCAACTACAATCTTTCTTGGATGTTTCGTGGTTTAAATTTACCATTACTTTTATACATGAAGTTTCCAAGTGCTATCAAATAGATCTTCTTTTAATTCTCCTTTTACTAATCTTAATTTATAGGTTCATTTTTTCGATAGAGCTGTCACCAGTATCCTGTTTAACCAATTATTTATTGTCAGATTCTGTAACTCTTTCTAGGTTCTCACTAGCAGATACATAAACATTTTGAGGTCCTCCAAATCTAGGAAGGGACACAGCTGGTGTATCAACCAAAGCTGGTAGTAAGCACTCCTGATGGTCACATCTACCTTGGCTGACATTTGCAGAGACGGATCCAGGAGCACTCCTAAACTGCAAAGTCAGTCTTTCAGGGGGAATGTAGGAGCTCCTTGTGGTGCAATGGGATAAACCCTTGTGCTGGTAGGACTGCTGACCAATAGGTCAGCGATTCGAATCCAGGGAGAGCAGGTTGAGCTACCTCTTATCAGCTCCAGATCCCCATGCGGGGACACAAGAGATGCCTCCCACAAGGATGGTAAAGCATTAAACATCCAGTTGTCCCCTGGGCAACATCATTTCAGACGGCTAGTTCTCTCACACCAGAAGCGACTTGCAGTAAGTTGCTCCTGGCACAAAGAAAAGAAAAGAAAAGAAAAGAAAAGAGGGAATGTAACCTCATCCAGTACTGATTGACACACCTCCATCCCCAGATTAGGACTCTTGATAGAAACCACCTCTGTTTTGTCTGGATCCTGTTTCAATTTGTTTTTCCTCATCCAGGCATTCATTCAGAGAAGACACTTTATCCTTAGCTGAGGCTTTTTTGAAGGCAGCTGATAACATCTTGCCCCATGCCTTTACTTGAAAGTATGTTGAATTGATTTGCATCCAAACATGCTAATGATGGAAGTTTTAAGTTATCTATCTTCTGCTTCTGGTAACATATTATATTACTGTGCACACAGTCATCAGTTTGTGTCTCATATATCTTATTTTGTCCTAAAGACAGAAGAGTATGGTCTCATGAAAATAATCACACGATCTCTGTTTCATAGTATTTTCAGTGCATATTCTGTAGAGCCATGTTGTCATAATGGATTCATCTGAAATGTCTATATCCAACTTTCTAGGAAAAACACTTCTTAATAATTTTGAGTGAGGTTACATAAAGCAATGGAGGTGAAGTTACAACAGGTTAGATAGATATAGCAAATTATCTTATAATAATATTGCTATATTAATTCTATACTGTCTAATGGGAATGTACAAGGTGGGCAGAAAACAGCTCAGCAACGATTGAGTCAGTTCACTGAGCAAGGAATGCTTAGTTCTCTCAACAAGCTGGGAACAGAACTGGAAAACTAGAAGGGAAGGAATTGGAATGGAATGGCAATAAACTGTCAAAGAGTGCCATATAGGTATCTATATAAATAAAAATGTAATGTTTGTTTGTGGGATTAACATAACTCAAAAACCACTGGACAAACTCCCGCCAAATTTGGCCACAAGACATTTACTAATGCAAGGAGTGACCACCACTCAAAGAATTTTGATTTTGTCATGTGGAGGTTGTATTTGCTGGGATTTATAGTTCACCTACAATCAAAGAGCATTCTGAACACCACCAATGAAGGAATTGAACCAAACATGGCACACGGGACTTCCATGACCAACAGAAAACACTAGAAGGGCTTGGTGGGCATTGACCTTGTGTTTGGGAGTTGTAGTTCATCTACACCCAGAGAGCACTGTGGACTCAAACAGTGATGAATCTGGACCAAACTTGGTATGAATACTCAACATGCTCAAGTGCAAATACTGGTGGAGTTTGAAGAAAACAGACCTTGACATTTGGGGGTTGTAGTTGATGGGAGTTATAGTTCCCCTACAATCATAGAGAATTCTGAACCCCACCAACGTGAGAACTGGGCCAAACGTTTCGTATGGAACCCCCATGACCAACAAAAAATACTGTGTTTTCTGGTGGTCTTCAGCGATGTATTGTGTCAATACATTTGAAGTTATGAATTTACTGTGAGTTTTATATTTATTCACAGAATGCTGTCCCGTGCCTGACACAGACAGAATTACATTTTTATACACATCTGTTATTCTTACAAAGAAAAAAGAAAAGAAAACTGGCTGGTCATATGCCAGTGCCAGATGAACCCCAAAACAACAGCAGCAGCTGCTACTATTGCACAATGGAACACAATAACAACAAAAAGAAGCCTAATTAGCTTTGTCTTTAAAAAGTAGGAGAGAAAAAAAGACAGAAAAATATGACCTTTGGATATAAAACTGAAACCCTCATTAAAAATAAGAAGGGAAGGAAAATATTCTGCAGGATTAATAGATTCTCAAAGGTATTCTGCTTATAAATATTCATAGGCAAAAATGGAAATGCATCTTGTAGTCCACTCCTAAGGGAGCCTTCAGTGCTAAACAAATGCTAGCGCCACATGGTAGTAATAATGGACTTCCTTATTCAACAAGACAAAAACAGAAACCCATGCCAGCATGGTGGCTCAAGTAACCAGCCTTAGCAGGTTGGCTTGGAGACTCTAATTTTACTTGAATTCCTGCCACTTTCAGCTTAAATGATGGCTGAAGACCTTTTAAGCAAACACAGAGGTAAGACTATCCAGTGCAATTAAGCAGCATTCAACTGTAGCCCTTCCATCCGTGCTAGTATCGTTTGCCTAATTAAGATCTTTTTCTTGTGGGGGCAAGGGGGTTGTGGGAGGGAATGACTTGTAGGCTTCCCATTTAAAAGATAAATATAAAATATATAAAACAATTATAACAGATTACTATTCTGAAGGGAGCAACACTTGACTTGCCAAAAACTCAGAGCAAAATCCAGGTACATAGGCTGCATGCTAAGGCATCTCATCTCTACCAAAGTTACAGACTACTTGCTTGCTAGATATTAGCTTTCTGTCATACACACATACTGGTATATGACCCTTCGCTATGGGGACAGCATAAGGCCCGTTATGAATCACACTCCACCCCTTTATTCTTAGAATGGCCTCTTGAGGTAGATCTGGCTGAAGAAATGATCTAAGATCACTTAGATAAAGCAAAGTAATCCTTGCTTCGTGGTTGCATGGAAATTTGAACGTATGCCTTCTCCAGCCTGTGTTATCATTGTATATTTACACCACTATGATACAACTTCCACTGCCTTGTCCCCATACGACGGAATCCAGGGAGTTGTAATTTAGAGAAGTACATGTTGTTGTTTATTCATTCAGTCACTTCCAACTCTTCATGATCTCATGGACCAGCCCACGACAGAGCTCCCTGTCGGCCATAATCACCCCCAGCTCCTTCAGAGTCAAGCCAGTCACTTCAAGGATGCCATCCATCCATCTTGCCCTTGGTCGGCCCCTCTTCCTTTTTCTTTCCATTTTCCGCAGCATCATACCAAACTACAAATCCATGGCAAACAATGGAGCCAAGGCAGTTAAAGTGGTATCCAACTGCCAAGATTGTGCAGTATGGATACACATGAGCCCAGCACTCTA